ATCTTGAACAAACATATTTTAGCTACTTGAAAATGTTTTTAAAGTAACAGAAAATTAAGAGTAATAAGTACCACATAATAAAGTTCAAAAAAAAAAAAAGTTTCATCAACAGCCAACTCTATTTAAATATTCTCTCTCTCCCCAAAGAATTTTTGGGACAAAATGTGGATTTTGTTTATTTTCATTCCTTGATATCCAGTGACTCCTCTTTTTACATGTATTCTCAAAAATCTGATCCATCATCACAATCCACCATTGCATGGACACCAAAATAACAAATAATAAGCCTAAATGATTAGATGAGTAATTTTTTGCAAAAACAGATAGAAATTCTTTAATATCAAGGATCTGAACCTATATTTTACATATTTAAATGTAGACTGTTTTCCCCCACAGATATTTAAATACAGACCCAAAGTTATTTTTCTACAGTGTGTATAAGGAACTGATTTTCCCTCTCGTAAGGACCCATTTTTGTAGTCATTGAAAGAAAAAAAAAAGTAATCTATTTCCTAGTCTATACACTAATCACATAATTATACTTTCCAATGCCCTAAAGATAAAACTGAATCAATCTCAGCTTAACAGGTATAAACATGCCATCTTTGAGTTAGAGTATCTCTAGCAATGTCTTTAACTCTCACACATGGCTGGAGGAAAAATCACAACTATGCAGATTAACACTGCTATAAATTAATTATCTTCAACTTCAAATGCGCCAGAAATAATGCTGAATAGTCTTTTTACTTTTTATTTTTTAAATGTTTATTCTCCTCAAATGTCTGGCCTTGGCACCTTTTCCCTCCTCTGGGCAATGATCTCATTTTAGTCCTCTGAAAAAACAGATTCCTTCTATTTCTTACCAATAAACCCACAAACTTGCCTGCAGTCACACCCATCCATTTCTTTTATCTAAGTAACAAAAATATACATCTTCACTTGAATACCTCATTGCCACCTCACTCCAGAAGCCTAAACTATATTCATCACCTTTTCTCCAAAACCTGTTCCCTTTCTTGCATTCCCTAAGTAAATACATAAATTGTCCATATCCAAATCTTCGCTCACTTACCATGTGAGATATATCATAGTTTCCTCCTAAATGTCTTAACACTTGCTATCTCAATGCCCACTGCCGGCCTTGTTATATCTTTTAGTTCCTTGAATTCTGTCTTGCCTCTATTTGTCTCTGCACAGAATAATCTTTACACTATCTTCTCAAGCCAAGGCAATCTTCAAATTTTAATCAAGACACCTTGCCTGTACTGCTGCTGCACCAAACTGGGTAGGTTTCCCTGCTACATTTAGAATTCCCAGAATTCCTGTTATACCATCACTGCTTCATATTACCATCTCTTCGCTTGGATTGAATGTTTTGAGGCCAAGAACTGGATCATGTCTGTCTGAGTTGATGTTGTGTTCTCAACACTGAGTATGTCTGAACTATAAAGGTGCTGAATCATGAATATAAATGAATAAAACACATCAACTTACCAGTTATTTGTTGTACAGATCCATTTAAGCCTGTCATTCCATTAATTTCTCGAAATGTTAGGAACTGTCCTGTCTCAAGTCTGTGAGGATGATTTTCAAGGCAAGTGACAATGCCAGGATTACCCTAAAAATAAGAGTAATCTACTAACAAACAAGTTCATGTATTCCTTTTTTGTACAAATTTCAAACCTCACACAAAAAATACCATATAATCATAAAATTCTCAAAACAAATAGATTTCCAAGCTATTCTTTTCCTTCCTTAGTAAAAGCAAACCTTTAAAAATTGTCACAAAATAGTGATCAACTTATTATTTTATTATAAATGCTTAAAATATAATTTCTATTGTTTGGGGGAGATAGATAAGAGATTCCACATAGGCGTCAAATATTTCATAGATTCAAAGATTCTTGTGATTTATAAAAACATTCAAAGTTATCGAGTGTAAGTTTTAAGTCATGTTATAAGAAACTCTGTATGCATAAAAGATGAGAGTCTAACTTTGAAAATTAAAGAAAGGTAAGAAAGGAGGATGGAGATTTAAAACCTGGAAATTAGTAGTTTAAAGCATGCCCAACAAACACTTCAAAGCAAAGAAATACTGTGTAGCCCAGCTTATTAGGATAAAAATAGAAACTAATTGGCTTATCACACCAAAGAGGATGAATGAGACAGGTCAAAAGCCTAGAAATTTCCTAATTGCATATAATCCCATATACTGCTTGACTGGGATTAGTAATTTATGTAAAACTAATGAAATTATCATTCTCTTTCATAATTGTGTTGATTCTAAAAATTCTCTTGATGCTTAATGATAAAAATAATAAAATTATAATCACAAACATGGTGATAAAATTAACATAATGTGGTTTGCAAATATTTCAATTAGAATTCATAGGACTTTATTAAGAAGGAGAAATAATTCCTTGTGGACAAGTTAAATGGGAATATTTATGATATTTTCTAATTCTTTACGGATAACCTACATAATTCCTGCACTATTCAATAAAAGAAAATACCAGTGTAATACAAAGATCCATATTCTCCTTCGGAGCTAATTCTAACAGTATGATATTCTCAGGGACAAATTAAAAACAACTACAGAGGGTAAAAATCTGAATAATAAACCATTCAGTAAGCAGAGAGATACACAGAATTTCTTAATGAATTTTTTCTTAAAAAGGGGTAAGAAAGGCAACATTACATTAGGTTTAAAAATAAAGCATAAAGAGAAGCACAAATATTATTCGGTCAAAATGTATTATCATTTCCTTATATTGGCTTCTTTTGAGCTTTAATGTAAATTGATTATACAGAATAAAGTTAATAATTATACAAATAAAGTTAATAATTTAGGCTAAAAAGAAAGTAAAAATCGATCATTATTATTTTTCTATTTCTTTTAAGAAATAAAAAATTAAGCTTACATGATATCAAAAGAATGTGGTTAGAAAATCAGACTATTTAATTTGAAGATTAATTAATGCTTAAACTTTTTTCCTCTTCCAAATAATGTTTTAGAAATATAACAAATTAGAAAAGCTTTTGTCTTTGATAACTTAGGTGTGCATCTTCCTAGAGTCACAGTGCTGGGCAAGGTTACCTATACTTAGTACATTTTTGATCTGACGCACTAAATAATTCAGCAAATACTGAAACACAATTCATGTCCCATAGAAACATGACATAAAGCAAAATTTAAATTTAAATTTATGGCATAAGCAAAATGCTGATCTATCAATTATTAAATATTGTTAGAGGTAATCCGAAATACTCTTAATAGTCTAACTTCAATTTGGCTTTAATAAAATGCAATCAAGAAAGTAACAAAACATTCCCTCATGAATTAACTTAAAATCTCATAAAACTGAAAAATATTTCACATACAATATTTTGCTAATACCTAAAATATAGTATTCACATCAACTTAAATCAATCATATACATATACTATAATATACATATACAATCGTACTTGCGTTATATTTGAAACAAAGATTTCTTTTGGCTCTTCTCCTGTTGTATCTGAAATTTCAAATTCATCACCAAAATCACAAAACAACCGTGACCAAATTCCATGCATATCTGCACTGATGAACTGTAAAATGATAAAAACAAGTTCATCTATTTGTAAAAAGAAAAAAAATAGCTCAACTATCTTAGGCCCTTTATGACAATTTCATTTAGAATTAAGTATATCACTTGGGATATAAGGTAAATGATGAATCAGATAAATTATTCATCTGTAAATTGGTTTAGGAATCAAGAATTTTGGTATTTGGGACTAGACATCTAGTGTTACAAAACTAGAGGCAATATCAATACATCATTATTATATACTCTATGATTTTTAAATTTTTAAATTTTTTATGGTGATAAGTGGCTAATGAGATCCAGTAAGTTTCAGCTGTACACTTTAACAGTAAGACATATATATGTTTACTGTGTGTTCATCTCCCATAGTTGGATTTCTGTCACCACATATTTGCCCCCTTTACCCCGTCTACTTTCCCTCTCCTCCTTCCCCTCTCCCCTCTAGTAGTCTATGATTTTTAAATAACAAATATTCCCACCTTGCCTTAAAAGTCAAGCACAGTATGCAAGAAACAAATATCTTGGTTTAATGGTCTAGCAGTGAATTCTTACTTTTCATTTTAGAAAAGAATAGAGTGTCCATTCACTAAAAGCAGCAGAATAAATGGAAAACAGAACAGAGCTAAAAGCTGAGAATGAAGTCAACAGAAAAGAGGCTAAAGAATTGACAGTATATATCAAAATCAAGAAAAGTAAAAATCAGATTCTTAAACAGAATCGTAAATGTTTTACTGAATTTTATAATACACTCTCTCCATTCTAAATCTGTAAAGAAATTGTTTTTGTGTTCATTTATTTTTAGTTATTGATAGTAAAGAAAAAATCTTACTCTAATAAATGATTCTATATAAAGTGACATTTTTCTAACAAAAATTAAAGTCTTGATACTTGGGTATAAGAACATAGGCCATTAAAATAATTTATACCACCTATTATATTAAGTAGTAAAATGGCTAATAGAAGACTACCTCTTGACTATATACTACACCTTTACTATCAAAACAGCATTTTTTGAGACATAAAAATTGCACAGAAATTTAGCTTTTTTTTAAGTTTAAAAGCTTGAACTTGATGACAATATTTTCCTTTTCAAAACAACTTTAAAGCATGAACATATGTATCAAATATATAAACAAGAATTTTAGTTTATAACCTACTGTAATTACTTTGTAAAACTTCTGTGACCTGTTATAAGTTTACTGACCATTCTATGTCTTATTAATCTGCTTAAGTTGTGAACCACAGCACAAATGTTCTACACAAAGTGTAAATATGCTATGTAAATACCACAGTCCAAAATTTCCAGCACACCTATTTTATACAGTATGATTACAGCTCAGTGCTCATCTCATAGGGAAAAATAGCTTTTTCCAAAGAAACAAATGACCCCACAAAATAGGTGAAGTTAGTAATATGCATTTAATTGCAGGGGAAGAATTATGAATTTTCTCATCTCTCTTTCCAGTATTCTCATTGTCACTACTATTTACGGAATTAATCTGGACCAAAAGCCAGATTAAATAATTAAAGTTTGGTCCAAGGACACTGAAGGTCTCCGAGACCCTTTCTGCAGGTGTCAAACTGTTTTCATAATATTACTAAAATGTATTTGCCTTTGTCACTCTGATTCTCTTACGTGGTACAATGAAGCTTTCAGAGTGTTTCTCTTATGTGGTACAATGAAGCTTTCAGAATTATTCTTGGTCATTCTTTCCTTCACAACTCATATTCATCTACTCTCAATTTCTGTTAGCCTTTTTTACAAGATACCTAAATTCAACAACTTCTCACAATCCCTATTCGTACCTCTCTTGAATAAAGCACCTCTCTCGAACATCTCACCTGGATCACTCCCTTAGCCCCTACTGGTCTAACTGCCTCTACTCTACTCTTATAATTCAACAACTGTCTTTCTTTTTGGTTTCATGACCCCTTCATGTTCTTAAAAATTATTGAGGACTCGAAGAACTGTTGTTTATGTGGATTATACCTATTGATATTTACTGTGTTAGAATTAAAACTGAGAAACATTTCCAGCAGAGCCAAGGCCCGTACCCTGGGCATGCGAACCACACCACGCCCCCTCCCCAAACATCCGTAGGTCAGGGGTGAAAGTGGGGGAATTAAAAAAAAAAACAAACAAACCGAGAAACATTTTAAACGAAAGAATACACACACATTACATTAGCTGTCAGAGCAATGATATCACCACACATCAAACACTCTGAAAGCTTCATTGTACCACATAAGAGAATCAGAGTGACAAAGGCAAATACATTTTAGTAATATTATGAAAACAGTTTGACACCTGCAGAAAGGGTCTCGGAGACCTTCAGTGTCCTTGGACCAAACTTTAAAAACTAGTGCTATAATCTATTCTCCACGCAGCACAACCAGAGTGACCTTTTAAAAGTATAAATCAAAACTCACAGGCTCAAAATCTGATATCCTCAACTACTACTAACTACTTCTCCAAACCTTATCTGGTAACTTTTACTACTACTACTCTCTCCTCTTTACCCAAACTTCTATTCTGGTCCTGCTTGCTTCTTGCTGTTCCTCAAACCAAACCAAGTGAATTTTTAAACATGCACGTCTTTACACTTGTAGTTCTCATTGTTTTGAATGCTCTTCCCCAGATATTTACATAGCTGGCTCTTTCTTCTTATTCAGGGCTCAAATGTCATCTCCTCAAAGAAGACTTTCCTGGCATTCAATCTAAGAGAACCAGCACTGCTCCACCGTCAACATCATGCAGAAATTAGACTCTATTGTTTACCTAGCTTTTTTCTTAATAGAAATGGAAACTATGTATTTGTTTAGTGTATAAATTTCCAACTAGGAAAATTATACTAGGAAGGTAATTTTCATAAGTAAAAAAATTTGTATATCCTATTCACTAATGTATTCCTAGTGCTTAGAACTCTATCTGGTGCATAGTAGACACTCAATAAATATTTGTTAAAAGAATCAATGTACCATCATCATACCATATTTAAAGTTAGATGATGAATTCTTTCTATTCCTAATCTTCATTCTCTCTTAGTTTGGACGATTTGCCTATAAAAATTTTGATCAGTTTTCAAAATAGAAAATATATCAAAATTAAAGAGAAAAATATTATTGTGATTGTCCTCATAGAAAAAGACTTTCTTATACGACCTGAAAAGCTAGACATTCTAATAGTGAAAGTGGTCTTCCCTTGTTATTATTGCATGTTATTATTAAGTAATACTATTACCTTAATTGGAGGACACTGAGAGCGGCAAAAGTCATTAATTTTCTTCTGCAGTGGAAGTTTGATTTCAGTCAATACTACACACTGTTGAAGAGAAAACAAGAGAATATACAATTATTTTTGGAAATATACAACCTCTAATCAGAAGCATTTCAGTTTATATTACGCTAAAAATATATTGTTTTCCTTGGAAAAAAATACTATTCTATTGTATTCCATTCTGAGGTTATTATCTTCGGAGGTACAGAATAACAAAAGTGAAAATAACAGGGGAAAACCTACCCACATTAAATTCAAGTACCATCATAGACTTCACAATTAGAAGCAACCCTTAATTTTCTATGTATTTATATACTCCAAATGGTTGGAGATTTTGTTTTGTCTGTTACTGCCATGAAAATACTAACATAATCATCAGAATATTAATTTAATGCTAGCTTAAAAGGGTAAGAATTACATTTTTAAAGAGATACGTTAGTCGTTTTAGCTTTCTCTTCAGAGATTCAAGATTCACAATATAACCACCTTTACTTAATGACGGTTTCATTAGTGAAGCCACCAAGTTCTGTAATAAATAGCAAGTTATAATTTTCAATGGTTACTCTATTTTTTAAATTATTACCCTGTGAGATAAATAGAGGTGGTTTTACAATCAGATTTATCATAAGTATGTTAGACTAATAATGGTCAAATACTTTCTTAGGGTCATCTATCAAGCAGCAAAAGCAGAGCTTGACTCTCAGTCCAGAGCTTTCCCTGCTGCTGGTTTCCATGACTTGTATAACAGTTTTACTACAAATATCCAGATGTGAAATAGTTTTATTTATCTAGCTCAGAATATGGTGTGCTTTCTGTAGGAAGATATTCTTTCATGGGTCTCTCACTTCTATGTGCCTCACTAGGTATGTCATGAATGCAAGACTCTGACGATTTTTTACTTGGGCCATTTCTCGGGATTGCACTTGCCTCATGCAACTTGAGGAATGAGGTGATGTCCCCCTATGGGACAAAGAGCAAGTCTGTTCACTGCTTGTTGTAAAACATTAGGTTCCCCAAGCTCAGTGTTCCTCTCCTCTAAAGGACCCACTACATGTCTACATGTGCCCTCTGCACTTCACTAGTGGGATTTGTGGCTGGGCAAGAGGAAATAAGGCAAATATGCTCATACTTCTTACCATGCTCTGAATAGTAAAGTCCTTAAGTCCGTAACCCAGGAATCTCATGCATTCTGTCAGCATTCATCAAACACTAACAGGTTAACTTAGCTTGTAAATAGGGTACAATCAAATCCTAGAACCGGTACATACTGAATCTAATTTGTATTTTATCAATGCTACAAAATTCTCAGCCACAATTTATTTGAATATTGCCTTTTCTAATGCTCTCCTTCTAGAAATTCAATCTCATGAAATGGACCTGTTCATTCAAGCTCTCATCCCTTTTACATTTTCTTTCATATATATATATATTTTTTATTTCTGGGTGTGGTAGTCTCAATAATTTCCTCAGCTCTATCTTTCGATTCATTAATTTCTATTCTAGCTGTATCTATCCACTATTTAACCTTTTCATCAAGTTTTAATTTTTAAGACTATTTTCATTTCTAAAAGTTCTATTTGGTTCTTTAATCACATTTGCCTGATTGTCTTCAATAGTGCCTTATTTTCATATTGTATATTTAATTATTTTTTTAAAGATTCTGTTAGCTTGAATATCTGTATTTTATAGTACCTATCCAATAACTCTGTTATCTGAAACTCTTGGAGGTTTAATTCTATTGTTTGTTATATCCACTGGCTCTTGATCATGCTGAACAGCTTTCTCCTGCCTTGTTATTTTGTATTGTGAACTCATCTTCAAAGGGGCTTTAAAAACTGGAAAAACTGTGGCCTAGTCAAGGGTACATTTCTTTATATTTATTTACTTTTGCTTCTGTGTGGTATTCTAGGGTATCACTAGCTTAGTACTACTTTTTATGTTAAGTTCTCAGCTTGGACAATTTTATTACAAAAGTTTATAAAATTGATCTCTAAACTTGTGTGAGGGTATGCCTGTGGTTATGAATTCCCAGGAAGACCTTTTTCATCCAGAGCTCAAAAGAAAACAGACAAGTTTCTTGTTCTGATGAGCAGAGACTGTTCTCATCCATTCTTTCACTGAGGGTGTAGCTCTCTGAGGTTCCAGTTTCACAGAGAAGGTAGGTCTTAATTCCATTTTTCTATCTCATATAGACCTATTATGTATTTTTTGTTTCTGCATGACCATTTATTCCTAAGAAATGTGGTTACTGAGACAGGAAACCCTGTCCCTGAAAGTGAACACAACAACCAACAGTTCACTGGTCTTCTTTTAGCTATCTATTCATTTTTGGTCTCTGAATACTTTCTTTACATTATTTTGCACTCAGGTAGTCATTTAAAAGGAAGTTTATTAAGCACTTCTATTACAGGAAATTTATTAAGCATCTTCGAAGAGGATAGATTTCAAGTTATCCAGTCAAGGATGGAAGTCTATGCTGATTTTTAATGAGTGATTATAACAAGAAATACTTATTTTATGATTATAACAAGAAATGTTGTGATTTTAACAAGAAATACATATTTTGGTCATCCAAGGTCATGGCATACAGCTCCTAAAACTCATAATTTCCTATATAAGAGCTGGAGGGGCATATTTTGTTATTAGGTTTGTCCCAGTTTCTGAAATAACTCCAGAGTGGTAAAGGTGAAAAGAATGTCTTTCATTATTCATAATAAGCCCCTTTTACCACATCCATTTTATGTTATCTTTATGAGGTAAATTTTGGAAAGCCCCTAAGGATGGGGGCTGGTTACCAGGGAATAACCTTGTGATTTGGGGGTTAGAACTTTAAGTCTTATCTTCCACACTTTTAGGGAGAGAGGAGGGCTCGAGATTGACTTAATCACTAATGGCCAATGATTTAATCATTCATACTTACATAATGAAGCCTCTATAAAAATCCATGAAATAGAGGCCTCAGGGAGCTTCTGGGTTCATGAACATATTGAGGTGCTGGAAAGGTGGCATACCTGGAGAGGGCATGGAAGCTCTGTGCCTCCTACCCCATACTTTGCCCTATGCATCTCTTCCACCTGGCTGTTTCTGAGTTACAGCTTTTTATAATGAACTGGTACTTTAGTAAGTAAACTGTTTTCCTTAGTTCTGTGAGCAACCCTGGCAAATTAATTGAACCAGGTAGAGGGAGGGAACCTCTGATTCATGGCCTGTCCTCAGAAGCACAAGTAACAACCTGGATTTTTGGCTGGTGTCAGAAAGTAGAGAAAGAAGATGATCTTGTGGGACTGAACCCTTAACCTGTGGAATCTGACGCTATCCAGGTAGTTTCAGAACTGTTAAAGACAAAACCACAGGCCCAAAATGGCATCAATTATGCTAAGAGCCCATGATATCAAACTTAGGTTTAATACTTGATCTAACTGCAGTTTCAACTTCTCCCCGAAACATAATCTTAATCAACTAGTCTGAAATTTTCTGGTCAAGCACCGACAACATAATCTGTCAAGTGGACCTTATCCATTCCCCACAGAAAGAGGCAATCTGCACAATAAAATCCCTTCCTTCTCTTCCCCCAAAGAAAAGATGCCCAAGCCCCAAAATAATCAATTTTTTTTTTTGTTCCTGGCTCTCTTGCCCCATGCTTTTTCCTATAAAAATTTTCCATTTTGTATAACCCCTAAGAACACTCTTCTAGTTGCTAGATGGGGTGCAGCCCAATTTATGAATCAATAAAGTCAATAAGATCTTTAAATTTACTCAGTTAAATTTTGTTTTTTAACAGAACTGAATTAAATTGTAGGATACCAAACCAGATGGCTAGAAGTCGGAGAATTACTTGTTGTGGGGGAAAAAAACCCACACACGTATGGTTCTACAAATGCCTGAAGTATTGCGAGGAGAAAAACACAGGAGTGTATATTCCTAGACAATGGGTAACATAGTTTAATCACAGGGAAAAATCAGGGTCAACCTAGTCACTTTCAGAACAGCCCAGATGCTGAGAATTTTTGTTGTTATTTAAGGCTACCTAAGGTAGACCCACATTTTTACTCTTCTGTAATCCAATCATACATCATCCTTTACCAATGGCCTTAGGAAGAGTATCCTTTTTTGCTCCTTGACTTTGGGCTTAACCATGTGACTTGTTTTGGCCAATGAAATATTAATGAAAGTAATACAAAACAGAAGTGTGAAATGTACTTGGATGGTTGGACTTACACCTTTGCATTTCTGCTATTGCCATGAAACCATGTCCTAGAAGAGAGGCATAAGGAGCAAAACACAGAATCTGGGATTTAAGTTCAGCCTGGAACAGCAAATGCATAAGAAAAAAAAATGTATGTTGCTATAAACCAGAGTTTTGGATAGTTTTTTATGCACATCACTGTGAAAATAGCTGACTGATACAATTGTTTGTCAAAAGTACAGAAGGCCCTTTCTCTAAAACAAAGTATTTGAAACACATTATTCCAAAGAAAGTCTTTTAATCTGAAAATTTTTGTCTGCTCAAAAGACTAGGTTAAATTAGTTATATCATGTTAGTACTTAACAATTTGCCTTGGAATCTGTCAATAATATCTAACATAAAATGGAGTACCAACCTGGTATTTATCTAAGAAGGAAAGATCTGTGGTTTCATTTAAAGGAATAGAAGATGATGTGACATGAACATATGGATTTAGTTCTGCAATATGTTGAAGAACAGCGTCAGCCCTAAAAAAATAAAGAATGACCTTTACTATGCATTCAATATACTTAATATCTCAAATTTGGACACTTTGACATCAGAGGAACCTGAATGTTACAAAATTTCAATGGAAATTTAATAAACTGTAGAGGAAGAAAGAAACTAAGATTTATTTAATATTTATAGATAACTATACAATCTTGAGATGTAGCATACTGTTATATCCCACAGTAAGACATGCAATTGCAAAATGCACCCTTACAGTTCCGAGCTCCAAGCTCAAGTCTTTGGATGACTCAGCAAAAATAAAGACCTCTTTTAACAATGTTAAAAATTTTATTCCAGGGAGCAATGTGAATGTATTAAAAATATTACAAATATAAATAAGTATATGTCAATACATATTTATCAATGGTAGTGTAACTTTATGGTGATGAGCTAAACAAGTATGACTGAACAAGTGTTCTGGATATAAATAAAATTCTGAGTAATTGCAAGAACAACAACAATAAAATCCTGTGATAATACATCAAAATATCTTATCTTCACCTGTTTCTCATATTAACAACATCATCTTCACAGAGAAAGAAGTTGGTTCCCAGGTCCCATGCTTGGCATTTTTCTGTATCATGAATGGTAAGGGCCTTTAAAAAAGAGGAAAATATCTGTTAAGACATTTTTAAGAATAAGACAAAAATGTTCACTATCTCCAATACTATTTACATTGCAATAAAGTGTTATCCTGTGTAATCAGACAACAGAAAGTAATTAAAAGCTTAAGAACTGGAAAAGATGCAAAGTTAGATCTATTTACAGATGAAATGAATATATACATCTGGAAACCTAGAAAAATTAATGGAAAAATGACTTTGAACAGTAAGAGAATTTAAATTTAGGAAAGTGGTAAGTTATATTAAACCAACATACAAACATTTAAAAAATTCACATAAACATTTCCAAATGCTCCATGTTCAAGTAAGAAATATAATTAACTGGAAAAAAAAATTTGTAATTATATTACAGGCTACAAATCTCATTTAAACAAGCGGGGTCTACGGCCATGCCACCTTGAATATGCCTGACTTCGTCTGATCTCGGAAACTAAGCAGGGTTGGGCCTGGTTAGTACTTGGATGGCAGACCACCAAGGAATACCAGGTGCTATAGGCGTTAAAAAAAAAAAAAAAATTAATTGAAAAATAAAGAAAGAAAGAAGCAGGCAAGGTATATGAACAAAGATTATACCAAAAAAGAAATGCATTTGGCCCTGTAAAATATTTACGTTCCTCATTTACAAGAATGGCATAAATTCAAAAGTTTAAAAATATACTCTACTGGTGAAAATGAGGTGAATCAGGCATTCCCATACATTGCTGGTGGGAATATGAAGTAGCACCACCTCAGTGGAAAGGAATCTGGCTATCTAGCAAAATGACGTGTGCATTTATCCGTGGACACAGCAATCCCACCTTTAAGAGTCTAACCCAAAGACACATTGGGAAAAATGAAAAACACATGTACAAGAGTATTAACTGCAGCACTATTTGTAATAGCAAAGTCTAGAAATAATCAAAACATCCACCAATGAGGAACTACATGTAATAATGAACGCTACATCACAAAATGTATATCAATGCAGCTGTAAGAAAGAATATACGGGGTTAATCCCAGGAAACACTGTTAAATGATAAATAGCAAGGTGGAGGAAAGTATGGCACTTTATCTAAGAAAGGCAGGTAGGGATAAATGTGTACACACACATATACATATTTGCATGCTTATATGTATGCATTTATTTATATTTAAAAACAGATGAAAAAAGGGGGTGACCTAATAAATGAGGCAATAGGGTACAGAGATGCTAGACTTACCTAAATATATTGTTTTATAAATTTGACTTTGAATTATATGTCTCGCATAATAGTAAAACTAAATTTAAAAAGCAATCCCTAAAAATCCAAGGCAGAGTTGTTACTCTGAAACTATGCCCCAGACAGGTAGAACAGAATATAGGATAAAGCAAATAATTAGGTTCATGACATTATGATCTAAACCTTATCTAGTAGGGGAGGAGATACAAATATAAAATCAAAAAATACCCTACAATTCTAAATTTGAGACTCAGAAATTTCAGTTTACTTATGATGAATGTTCTAGCGCTGTCAACTGACAAAACTTTACAGACTACTGGAGTATGTCAAAAGAACTCAAGAACTTGCAGAAGATTCCAGCAAGCAAAGATAAAACAATTTGAGCATCAATGAGAATAGCAGCTACAATGGATCAAAACATATCAAATACATCTAAATCTATGCATGACTTTATCATGATACACACACACACACACACACACACACACACACACACACACGTTTACTGGCTACTGCTAGGGGATGATAAGAATCGACTGATTCTGAAAACTGGAAAATAAAGGGGAGGCAAAAATCAAGTATTTATCTTGCTCTTCATATATGTACAAACTACACTTTAGTAGAATCAAATAGGTAATAAATGGAAAATTTTCTTTCTAAAATATTATTCTGGGTAATAAATGACAAAGAAATGACAGAATTAGAATATCACTGTCCTGCATAAAATAATGAATCTAAGCTATAATCATTAATAGTCATTAATAACCACAAAAAGAGAGACTGTGAAGTAGTGCCAAAAAAATCAAATATGAATCTGATTCTCTGTATATAACTACCAATTTATAGGAAACAGAGGTAGAGGTATATGTAATAAATGAGCTGATTTCTTTAATAAGTAAATCTCAAAGAAAAAAATCAGAGAAGAGAAATCTATATATTAAAAGAAACCAAGTTTAGTGAATGGATTTTACTTGGATCCTGATTAGAACAAAATAAACAAAAAAAACCACATGAGATAACTGGGAAAATTTGAACTCTAACTACACATTTGATGATTGTGGTAGGCAGGCTTCTAAGATGGCCCTGATGATTCTCACTTCCTGGTATTCCAGTCTTTGTATAATCCTCTCCCCTTAAGCGTAAAATGGACCTAGTGATGTGCTTTTAAGGAATACAGCATAGGTGGTGAAATGCCATTTCTGATATTAGGTTACAAAAGACTGTGATTTGTCTTGCTAACATATTCCGTTTCTTGTCTTCTTGCAATCTTATTCTGATGAAGCAAGCTGCCCTATGGAGAGGGCCATATGGTTAAGAAACTAAAGGTGACCTCTGAACAACAACCAGCAAAAAACTGAAGTGGGAATGTCAAGTGGCACAAACTTGCCACCAAAACCTGTCTACAACTTCCTGAGTGACCTTGGGAAGCACCTTTATCTTATAGAGCTATATACTAAAATATTTAAGGATGATATAACAGGATGTCTGACATGTCAAAATAATTTGGCAGTTGGGTGGCAGTGGGGAGTGGGGAATGGGAAAGAGATATATGAAACGTATGTGTGTATGAGTTGATAATTGCAGCTGCATGATGTTAAAACTTCTATCTTTGTATAATTTTGAAATTTTCTATATTAAATTCTATATTAATTTCTATTTTAAAAAGAGGCAAGCAGAGCATTAAAACAATTTTGCTAATAAATGAAGAAGCAATAATCAGGCCAAAGTGTAAACAATATTATCACAACTGATGAGCAAAAGAAAGAAAAAAAAGAGTTCATAACAAAAAATTCTTCTTACCAAAGACATTTCCTCACCTTAATTCCTGCAAGAACAAGATTCTTTGCTATAAAGGAAAAAAAGGAATAGCTTAATATTAGGAAAGTATATTAGATATGTCTTCATGGAACTTAGTCACATCTCTATTTTAACTTTCTTTTCTAAAGAAATACAAGTCCCTTAGAAAATATAGATGAACAAAAAAGAAAAAATAAAAATTTCCCATAACCACACCATATTGAGATAATCATTCTTAAAACTTAAGTGTATTCTTCCAGATTTGTTGTTTGAATATGTATGTGTGCTCTATCATAATGAATTAATGGATACAGAAAATGAACATTAATGGCTACTGACATCACAAAAAAAGTTATTACTGATTCCTTATAGGAATATAACAGTATCATGAAGTAGTCTTGCCAAAAGAATCAAAACTAAATCTATTCAAGGTTTTAGATCTAATTTATTTTACAGAAATATTACATGGGGAAAGAATTGAATCTTTAAATTATGTTGCTCAACAGTGTCTTATAAAGTTATGAATAAAAATACTGCTTACCAATTTCCAAACCAAGACCACCCATACCACTTAAGAAAACATGGGACTTGGCCATCTTCTGCATTGCTGTGTCTCCAAGAACATACCTCTGTCGACTATATGTAAAACACAATAAAAAACAATAAATTATTTCATCAAAATTATATATCCCTTTAAAGTTGTTTGCAAACTAAAAGCCTGGCAACTAGATCCTGCCCAAGACTTGTTTTGGGTCATTTGCATAGTATTTCAAATTTCTGACTTAATTGCCAAATATATAATGTATTTTAAAAAATTAGAAGATTTGGCACCAAGGTCCACATTCCCTCATGGCTCTAGATAAATGGAGCTGAGCAGGTGTTGCCTAATTATATAAGAAGGACTATGTGCTCTAGTCTTGCCACAGTTAACATCCTGCTTCTCTCGTTTATTACTTCAGTAGCCACTATAAGCATTTGAGTTTGCCATTTCTATTTTAAGTCTTTCACTGTAAATAGGATATCTGAAGCAAAAAATTGGTTCCCTTCTTAGAGTTTAGATGAATTAAAATTAAGCAGTTTTCAAACATTATTTTAACTATAAATCCTGTTAAAGTCTCTAAAGGACCCTGTTAAGTACTCCAGCCTAATAGCCATAAAGTAGTATCAGAATTGGAATTTCAAAAAATACACGTTGGCAATTTTTAAAAGTTAGATATAATAATAAAGCTAGTAATAAGTTCATTCGAAAAGAACAGTGATACACTTGATACTACACCAGTTTTTGAAGCTAATGCGAAGATTCCAGTGGATTCTAATGAAAATCATTTGATACATGAATTCAGTATAAACAACAAATAATTCCAGAACCCCTTAGGCTATAAATATATCTTTCGGAATTCACACACACACACACACACACACACACGCGCGCGCGTTTAATGTATTTTTCTGTTTAATATATAGATGTTTAATTTCCATATTTTAGCTATTCATATTCAATAAAAAAGCCTGAAAAAGTTTCTTGTTTAGTCAGAAGAAACTATTTTATAAACACGAGCCATCTTTCCTTCCTATTCCCTGCACAATATAATAAAACCCAAACTTTTCTTTTTAAATTGATTTTCACCATTTGTTTCAGATATTAAACTATCCATTTATTCAAATATCAAATATTTATTGAACACCTACAATGGTATGTATGGAATTGCATATAACCACTCTTATTTGTGTACCCCTGAGCAATATAAGTTTTGTCTATTTTGGAACTTCATATAAAGGGGATCATTTTGAACGTCTTCTGTGTCTTGCTTCTTTTGAATGAAATTGTATTTATGAGATTTATTAATATCAGTGCATGTAGCTGTTCAATAATTTTCATTTCTGGTGTCCTCTATTGTAACAGTACACCATAATTTAGCTATTTTACAGTTTTGAACAGTTGCCAATAATGAGTCTATGAGCATTCTTATGTACATCTGCTACACATGTAGTAGTTTCTACGGTGCATTTATCTAGGAGAGGGAATGTAGGGTTAACTTTATTAGATAATGCCAAACTGTTTTCCAAAGTGGATGTACCAATTTATTCTCCCATCCTGGCTATGTATCAAAGTCCTTATAGTTTCACATCCTTAATGTGCAAGAAAAAGTTAACATAGCAGGACCTTTAGCCTGCTTCCAGGGCTAGCCCTTCGCTGGCGTCTGTGAATTTGGCCTTTGAAATGTTTCCATACTAATAAATTCCACTCTTCTATTTCCTTTTTCCCTAGTTTCCTGAAATAAAAACTCATTAATTTTTTAGGTTTTATTTTCTAAAATACCCATATAAAACTTTAACTGATTTTAAACAGCACCCTAAATTTTGATATTGAACTTCATTATTTTCTGATTTTAATTATGATTTTTGACTTACAGGTTAATGTGAAGTATAGAAATTTTGTAGTTATCTTTAGTGTTGACTTCTAGTTTAAATGCATTATGAATAGACAACGCAATCTATATGATTCCACTCTTTCATATTTGAGGATTTTTTGGGTCAATTTTACAAATGTTCTTTTCAAGAACACATTCTCTATAGTTTTAGACAAAACATTCTTTATATATGCTTTAATTTAAATAATCATGTTGATGAGATCTATATCTATTCTGATTTTTTTGTCTGCTTGTTCTGATTACTAAAAGCAGCATTTAAAATATCTCCCAGTATAACTGTAAGTTTGTCTATTCTTCTTGTATATAAGTACCTGAATAGTGCTTATATGTAAGAATAACATATTGAATGTTTATTTTGCACCACATGTTCTTTTAGTGTTTTACTTGTACTAACTCATTTAATCCTCATAAAAATTCTATTAGATAAATTCTATCATTATTCCCATTTTTACAGAGAGAAAAACTTAAGCACAGGGAAATAAAGTAACATAAATAGTGGAGGCAATATTCAACACAGGCAGTCTGGTCTTAGCATCTATACTCAACCACTATGCTATACTGCATGTAGATTAAGAAAATCAAGTCACTCTACATTGATTTACAGAGGAAGAAAAAAAAAAAAATCAGTTCCCCGACCTTACTCTTTTCTATCCCAATTTCCACTCCCCAAGGACAACCACTCTCAATTCTTCTAGTTATTTCTTCTATTATTTACTCCCTTACTTCTAGATAATGTTTATACTTTTATTTCTTGGTTTTAAGCTTTACATATTACCTATTAACTTCCTACGAAGAAAGATGAATGATCTTTCTGCAGTACAAATCTGGTCAAATCATTCTCCTGCTATAAAAACTCCAATGGTTTCCTATTTTCCTTATGATAAAGTCTACATTCTAACATTAATCACAGGGCTGTTCATAATCTAATCTCTGCTTTGTTCTCTAGTCTCACCTTTTGTCACCCCTGCACTAAACTCCATGTTTCAGGTATACTAAAGGTTTTTAGTTCTCCAAATGTGTCAGGTTCTCTTCGCCTGGTAGATATTTTTCTGGCATATTCCTCTCCCCCAATACATTATGCCTGAATAATTCCTACTGGTCCTCGGGTCTCTGCTTATAAATTACTTTCTCCCCATGATGTTTCCCCTGATACCCCTAAACTTTCCCAAAACAGTGTTGGATCATTTTTATGGCATCTATAATACCCTGCACTCAATCTATTAACGCTTATTACAGTGTATTTTCACTATTTGTCTATTTTTTTCCTAGGAGACTGTAGATTCTTTACAGCAGGGCCAGTGCCTTATTTACTATTGTATCCCAGTGATTAACAGGGCTTGGCATATTATGGACACACAAAAACAATTTGCTGAATTAATGAAAGAAATAAATTGGCACACAAGAACAAGAACAATACTTTTATGCTCTACTAAGCAGAGGACCTGAATTATTCTTACTAGGTTCACAGTCACAAGAACTACATTTAAAAATATGTTTTTCATCTCAGACTTGTCCTCATGAAATATTTTTAAGATTACTTAAGCAAATAATGAATAGCCATGGCATAAATGTGGTTATGAATGAAGAACATACAGACAAAGGAATAAAAATTAAGATATTTGAACCAAGGTTTACCAAAGAATCATACAATCTCAGACAAATTCTTGTTACCTAAATCACCTTTCAAAATTGAAAACGCCTTTTCAGTATTTGGCCACCAAGAGGAAGGGTACTAATTAAGTGCCTACTTTGTACTAGGTATGTCAGGTATTCTGCAACTGACACTTAGATCCTATGAAGTCCATATTGTTAGTAAGTAGTAGTGATGGAAATTAAAGAGCCTAAAATATAACTTCAAGTCCAGCATGTTATTTTAAAACTGACTCTATTAAGTGGACACCAACATATCAGTGATTGTATCCAGTAAAAAAAAAATTATCAAGGCCACCTACTCTACTTTTAGAGAGCCCTATTTATTAAAGATGCTCTCTTTTATGAAGGTTCAATATCTCCCTATAGTTTTCACCTACTAGTCCTAATTTTACCTCCTTGGGGCCAGAGGGAACTCGTCTAATCCCTCTTCGATGTGACAGCCCTCCAAACATTTGAAGATGGTATTCAGGTTCCAGAGTCTTCTTTCTCCAGGCTAAACATCTCCAGTTCCTTAAACAATTCCAAAAGGACATCATTTTGAGTCCCCCTCAACACTCTGATCACTTTCTTCTGGATGTATTTCAATTATCTTTGTCATGCATTCATAAATGTATTAAAATATCTATTTCAAGCCAGGCACTAGCACTCTGTGGGTATCACAACAGCAACACCTCATGTGGATACCATGAGGTTCAAATTAAATAAGATAAAATATATAAAATATTTAGCAGAATCTTTGTGACATGTTATTGGAAAGAGAGATAAATAATTCATTATTAAGTACTACATACAGAAGTATCAGAAACTACGGGAACCTGAAATACAGAAGAGGAAATAATTATCTCTGTCAGTGGAGATCATGGAAAGCTTCAAAAATGAGGTTCATCCAAATAAAATTCTGAAGACTTGAAAGGTATTAAAAAATAACCAAAAAGGAAAAATACACTATGCTAGAAAAAAGAAAAGCATGAAAAAGAATGGCATATAAGAGAAACATAGTATATACATAGGACTTCCACCTTTGACCATGGTGAAATAACAGAGACCAGGTTTATATGTCTCCTACCTTAAGCAACTGAAAACTGGAAAATATAAGTGCATAAACAGACTTCAGACACTAGACAATAGGCAACTCAGGACAGTAATCTCAGAGAAGAAAAACAAGTAAGGTGAGCTTTATGACTGCCTTAGCTGCTGTTTGGAGAGGTTCCAGGCTGCAGTGCAAGAAGGGAAACCCAAAGAAAGCCTGGTGGTCTCCTGAATTAAAAAAATAGGGCTGTGAATTCAAGGAAGCTAGAATTTGCGAGCACAGAGATGAATACACAGAGTGTCAGAGACCTGGAGAAGGTTCTCCTTGAGTCATCCATCAGTTAAATAAGATCAGCACATACACTCAGGAAACAACCTCAAGCTGGGGAAAGAACCACCTGAATAATACCACTCAAAAAGGTATTATATCAATAGTGGGGAAAAATTAGTCCTACATTTAAGTCTCCAAGTAACTTAATTTAGTCTCTGAACAAAATTCAAGAATAAATTCAAAATTATCCA